CCCATTCCAAAAAATACATTTTGTTTTTCACAGCAAACAACCTTTCAGGCGGTCTTGACCTCAAATGGGCAATACTCATTTGTACTGATGAATTACGGGTCCCTGGCCTTCACTCCAAGATCTGTACAGGTTAGAGGCATTCAGAATAGTCAATACTACAACAATTATTTGCTTTGTATTTCTCAAAGTCCGTTTTTTTCCCTAAAATATGATTAAAATATAATCATTTATGAATATGAAATTTCCAGGCTGGATACGACACGGTCAATTCCTCTCACCACTTTACCATCCCAGGATCATTCTCTGTAAATGCAACCGGTCCCAACTCTGTTTTAAGTCTTAATAGCAACGTTAACGTACCTGGCCGCTGGGCTTTCCGTGTAGATCAAGGGTCAACAGGCTGCACTTTCAATGGTAAGAACAAAAGCTCTTAATGTACCTCTTTATAAAGATAAGTAAATGTATGAAGGTGTAACTGAAAAAATATAGTCTCTGTCTGATGGTGAAAAGTGGGGTCATTAATCAGGGTGTAGTGAATACTTAACAACTTTGTTCTTCTTTGATAACATATCAGTCAGTGATGTTAGAAACATCAAATTAAATTCAAACTCAAAATTAATATTAGTTAACAGGATAAAATAAAAGCTTTAAAATGACTCTTGTTTGACTTTTTTTGCTTAAAGGTCAACCTGTTCAAATTGGTGACTCTTTCTGGAGTGACAGCACTTGTGCACAGAAGTGTACCTGCACCAAAGCAGGGCTGCAGTGCTCCAATGACCCCTGCTCCTATTCCCAAATTTGTCGGCCGGCTTCCTTTGAGTACTCCTGCCAGAGAGTGCGAAGACGTACCTGCACCATCAGCGGCGATCCACATTACTACACCTTTGACAACGCGGTGTTTCACTTTCAGGGAACATGTACTTATGTTCTGTCAGAACAGTGTCAGAATGAGCTGCCCTACTATAGAGTGGAGTCAAAAAACGAGCATCGTGGCAGCACTCGAGTTTCTTGGACACGACTGGTCAAAGTCTTTGTCTATAATGAAACTATTGAACTTGTTAAAGGCCGTCGGGGTCAGGCTAAGGTAATAAGGACTACTGTTATTTACAGTAACATATACTAAGGATTTTATTTATTGTTTTGTCATTATTTTTGTCTTGTTGCTTTCAGGTTAATGGAAACTATCTCACAGCTCCCTTTTCCCTTAGAAATGGCACTATCAAGGTTTATCAATCAGGTTTTTCTCTGACCGTCAGCACTGACTTTGGTGTGATGGCGTCATATGACATGAATCACTATGTCCGCATCAGTGTGCCCTACACGTACCAGAATAACACCTGTGGGCTATGCGGAAACTTCAACGATAACCCTGAAGATGACTTTCGAACCCGTGAAGGTGAAGTAGTGAGCTCTGATGTGGTTTTTGCAAACAGCTGGAAGGCACCAGGGGATGATGAGCCCAGCTGTGATCCACAATGTGAAGGATTGGCCTGTGCAACCTGTCCAGCAGATCAGTCAGCATTGTACAGAAATTCTGCTATGTGTGGCATGCTTGAGGACAGTTTAGGACCGTTTGCTGCCTGCCATCAACAACTCCCTCCAAGATCCTTTGTGGAAAGCTGTGTGTATGATCTGTGTGTCAGCGGAGGGTATCAACCCATTCTGTGCCAAGCGCTTGGCGTCTACTCAAGTCTATGCCAAGAAAATGGTATCCAGCCACAAAACTGGCGGAGTACTGACTTCTGTGGTATGTCTGTCATTCAACTTAAATTATTTTAAATATTTCCTTTGAAATGTCCAGTGACTGACAATAAATTTTTCTTCTGTTTAGAAATCCCTTGCCCAGCTAATAGCCACTTTGAGCCCCAAGGTACAGGATGTCCAGCCTAATGCGCCAACCCTAATTCCGCACACAACTGCCCCCTCCCCAATCAGTAGAGCTGTGTCTGTGATTCAGGCTAC